ATCTGCATAATACCACGCACACATGCCCACTGCAAGAAAGGCAGAGAAAAGTCCAATTAAAGAAATGAAAACAATCGTGTTTGAGGAAGAAGCACGAAAAGGTGCAGCATTTCTTTCCCCATCACAACCAGAGAGATGATGGGAGAGCATATGAACTGTTTTGTTGTTGAAAACACCACAATATGAAAAAAATATCCCAAAATGTTGAGAAAGGGGAACCGGTCATTCGCTAAAACTCGCTACAATGGGGAAAAATGAAATCTGTAATCTACAACATCTGTGAAATGATCACAAACAATTAGATTCACAGTGCAGAAATGAAGTCATTTTAATGAAAGATAAATACTTATTAATCATCTTAACTAATTAGTATCCAAATACGTTTAAATAATTACATTATTACACTTTTTTTAAATCCAGTACTGTTTTGTTTATGTGCATTTTAATTTTCTTGTTATTATTATTATGATTACAGTTAGTGGGAGCAGCGGCTATATTAGCAGTACTGATAGTAGTGAGGTCACATTTAAATTAAAAATGAGAGCCGGGTCTTTGTCATTCGTTCATGTATATAGTCTGGTTCACTTTGCTCACAGAATGCAAACAAACTTTGTACCACAAATACTGATGAATCACACAGTTATTCATGTAATGTTCATTCACTCACAGATTTATTTGTGGATGAGGCCAAGTGAGATCATTAAGTCCAGCCACTCCCAACCAGTCAATCCTTTGCAGACTTCCTCTCTCCTGTTACAGATGATAACTTTTACCACACACTAAGGGTCAGAGGTGAAAGTGCTCCAAGATATGCCACCTTGAACATTTATCGTGTTTATTACCAAGCGTTTAGTGAACCTGTCTAAGACAATTCTCTGGAAAATTCATTTACAGGCAGCTACACTGACCTACAGTAAACAATGTTATTTTACAGTCTACCTTCTGTATTCTACATAATTAAACTGCATTAATGTATATAACTTCTAAAATATCATTAACCAACCTGTGCAGATGTGCTGGAAACATTTAATGAGAATGACAAAGATGTTGTATCTGTAGAAGACAGTCACTGAGTGATGCAGAGTCTTAAGGATATATTTTATTAACTCCCTAAACTCTGCAGTATTATCAAAGAAAAAGGCAGTCTTCCATCCAAGTTCATAGTCATTGTAGATATACTTTGTTAGATTAAAACTTAGTGTAGTCCAAAAAAGAAATACAATTGCATTAATGTGTAATTGTTGTAACTGTTGTGTAGTTGTCTTTTTCAGACTGATGGGAATACACTGGTTTGATTCTATAAGGACAAACCAAGCAAAATAAATTCATGCTGAAGAGGATATGTTAAAATAATGAAGCGACATAATGAGCAACAAGATGAGACTGCTTTAAAACCTCCATGATTTGGCTTAAGAGCCAAGGTGAATGGAGACAGCAGCTAACTAAATGCATCATATCCATCCGTCTGCATGTGAACAATGGCATAATACAGTCCTCCTCTGCGAAAAGGCCAAATAGTAATTGGGTCCTTGTGACACTTAAGAAAATGTAATAAGAGCAAGGAAAGATCTGTTGAGGTGCACTGGAGAAGAAAAAAGTGGTGAGAAAGAGAGCGAATTAAGAAAAGGCACATTCGGAGTGAGCGCAGCGACGGTTTGAGGAAGGCCACAGAATGAGAGCAAGACGTGGGAATAAAAACAGATTTAATAAGAGAGACAGTGTATGTGTGATTATAGCACGCATTGTGAGTCTTAATATTCCAGTTAATCTCCATCTTGCTGGATCTCTTCTTTAACTGCCCCGCTCTGTTGTTTACGTGTTACGTTTCCATACATTTTCCATATAATTGCATTTTCCCCCTTTTCTTTTTGTGACAGAAAACTCGCTCCCCCTCCCCAGTTTTTGCATTTCTAGCTCCTTGACTAGTGAGCTAATTAGTTTTGCAGTAATTACCTGCTTCAGTGCATTGTAATAGTCTCTTTATTGTTTGAGGGGGGGGGGAGGAGGAATTACACAGTACAAGCAGAAAAGGTACAATGAATTGAAAGGCTCTCAGATTTTGATTTTGTTGTTCTTTAAACTTGCGACCAGCCTGAATGTCAAATCTTTTGATGTGAAAGGGCAGAAGAATAGAAAACAGAGCTAAGCCTTTTATCTGCCTGCACCTTATTCAGATAGCTGTTACTTTAGAATTGAAAGTAGGGCACTGGAAAGCATATGTGGCTTTGGGAAAAAGCACCAGCACTTCCTGAGCGCTCAACCAGGCAGTGCAACTCCCAAATCAACCAAACCATTAACACAACACGTCATTTCTCTCAGACGTCCTTGATTTTGTTGTTGACACATCATTTACAAAGGCAACATTAGTGCTCAAAAAAATGTAAATGTTGCAGCATTCCTGCTATTTTTTAAATGTACAGTTCAACCCCAAATTAACCTTAACACCCATTTAACTGCTAGTCTGTTTGAGTGTGCTCAGTTTCAGTGATACTAGCTGCACAGATGTCTGATGGATTTTACATTGCTCAAAGGATAGGACCAAAGGAATACTTGTGTATGTATTTTCCTGAAATAGTTACACATTTAGTTTTAAAAAAAAATCCACAAAAAATGCATCTATCCTCAACGTAACAGCAGTTCTTCGTGGTTGCTCTCACAAGAGAATCTGAAAAGATTACAGCAAAGAAGACCCTCGAGGATAACGTCTTCCTTCTGCTCGCACCAATAAGAGTTTTAATCTTTACAAATAGAATGCCGAAGATGGCAGGGGAAGAGAATTTCACATTTTTGGTTGCATAAAGATCTTTGTGCGATTCCAGTTTAATATTTTATGATGCCATAACTCTGGAAAACAGCTGGACGTGGAAAAGTTTACCCTAAGACTGTGAACAGATTTATTTTGATGAAAACAATTATCAGCAACTGAGTTTTCCTTTGAAAAATTTCAAGTAAATATTATTCGACATTGGCAATGATAGGAAATTGCATGTGGCTTAGATTATCCACTGTTCTCAATGTATTGATGATTTTCCATAGGTGACTAGCAATGGGTTCATAAACAATAGTTACATGGTAACTAAGCCATCGTCAAAACTTGAGTCAGATAACTGCGGTTGAAAATATAGATGTTACCATACTAACATTAAAACACCCAACAGATAAAAACATAAGCCTCTGTTAGACGTTTGTTTTCTCCTCCACATAGCTCCTGAGCCTCATTTTTCACTGTCTCCTGTGATTGTTTTATAAAACTGATTAAATTCTCAGAGTTCTATTCAAAGGCGTTCTGGCTCCTAATTTGCCGTATTGTCAAAACGCATAGACACAGCTCTGTCACTTGCAAGTGAAGTGAAAGCAGATGTATTGTGTATTCAAGGATGCTCCAGTCTGACAGCAAAGAAGTAAATCAAATCTTTTTACTTTCTTTACATGCAATAAACACATATACCTCACCAAAGACAATTTCCCTCTATCACTCCACTTTCTCCCCCCGAACTCCCAGTTTTTTGTATTTTCCTCGCTTGGCGGTGCGGTTGCAGTGAGACAGATGACATGCCTCGTGTGTGTGTATGACTGCCACTTGAACAACCACCACTTCACAGCTGTGTGTGTGTACGTGCTCATAAATTGGCACTTGGGGTGTCAGCAATCTGGCACTGCGATGGACTCTCATGAATTCAGAGGCTTACTAGAGCTGCTGTTTATTTATTCAGGGCATCATACGGAATAGAGGGAGAGTTGGGATGAGAATGCTGGGGCAGAGTAACAAACATGAAAGTAAATATGATGTATAATTGACATATCCCTGACATCTCTTAGCTTCACTGGACCTGCTTAGGTTGGACAAGCTGCACTCCTATTATTCTGATGGAGTCTAGTGACCTCACACAGAGTAAATCACAACTCTTCCACCTGCAGTGTGAGCAGGGGTCAGCCCGAGTAATTGAAAAAACCTGTCAGCAGGACAGGGCCTTAAAAGCTTCAAGCTTGATGCTAAAGAATTCATCATACTATTTTTTTTTCTTTCGCAGGCACAGTATTAATGGGCGATACACATTTTAGGCCATAAAAAGAACATATAAGCTAAAAAAAAAAGACCAGGATTATTTTTTCTTAAATGGAAACTATCCACTATTAAAAAGTTCTGCCAGCTACTGATGCTACTGTACTTCTGAGATAAATGAAACAAGGAGAGGAGAGGTTAGCCAATGAAAGACAAAACCAAGAGAAAGAGGAGGGGGGAGAATACCCTGGTTCATCACTTTTAAGGAAACTGACAGCAGACAGTTACTTTGTTCCACTAAATCAGGATGAAAAAGTCACAGTTTACATCAAAGTTGCTGAGAAAATGTTCAGCAAGATGGCGTGCATGCTAATGGAGAGGCTAGCTGTAGCATCCAACTGTGGTTGAGTTACCCTCGTGAAAATGCTTTGGCTTCTGCTCAAGATCAAGTGCTTTAAAGCTTTTAGTGAATTTTTACTGTGACAGTCGTATTTCACATAATGATTTAAAATATGCTGCATATGTACACTCTGTGTAAATACTGAAGACATATTTAGGCCCAGGGGTCTGGAAGTTGATGATCCAGACATGTATCAACGAGGGATCTTCCTGGCAACTGATGTGTGTTAAATTAAATTAGAAATAAATATTAGACAAGTCTAAAAGACAGAAAACATTTAAAGCTGAGCAGACTTTAAATGGATGAGGTTAAACCTTGGCCAAAACAAATATTTTGTGTGTATTTGAAAATTAGTGCTGTCAAAATTATCGCGTTAATTGTTAAGATCAACGCGAAATGTTTAATGCATTAAAAAAATTTAACGCTGATTTTGTTTTTTTTTATTAATTTCCTGCAATCTAAGACCTTTAAATTCATGAGCACCTCTGGAGTAGGGGGCAACAGTGTGCTATGCTGGCGTTTGGCCTGACAGAAATGATTAGAAGAAGAAGTGACACCATGCTACTATCTAGCTAACACTAGCTAACACACGCAAGCATGGACGAGGGCGGACTTTTGGGTGGAAAGTTTCTCTTTAAGAAGTTGCCTGATGGCTTGTTGGACAAAACGAGAGTAAGATGCACAATTTGCAAAGCTGAATTCAAGTACCACAGAAGCAGTTCATCACTGGCGTATCACCTGAGAGCAAAACACCCAACTGAATCCACCTCTACGGGACCTCGCCAGTCTACGCTTCAGGAGTATGGTGCTTGTGGACGAATAACAAAAAATGTGAGAGAAAAGGTAACCAATTCCTTGGTTGTTTGGATAGCTAAAAACTGCCGACCAGTTAGCATAGTAGAAGATGATGGACTGAGAGAAGTCATTCGTGCTGCATCAGGAGATGAGTGTTACAATCTGCCCTCGAGAGGAACCATTGTGTCGAGACTGCACACTTTGTATGGAGACCAGAGGGCTCAGCAGTCCAGCAAGCTTGTGCAAGTAAGGAATGTCGCTCTCACCGGAGACCACTGGACTTCGGTGAACAACGATAATTACTTGGGGGTCATGGCGCATTTTATTGATAACGACTGGACTATGCAATCGTTTGCACTAACAGTGAGTAAAACTGAAGAGAGACACTATGCTGAGGCGTGTGCTGACCATTTTCTAAATGTTGCAAACGAATGGAAAATCAAAGAAAAGGTAACCACGCTTGGCACCGACAGTGCTCGTAACATGGTTGCAGCCGCCAGACTACTTCCATTTGAACACATGCCCTGCATGGCCCACATTCTGCAAAGAACGGTCACAGTTTCTCTTAATGACAGCGCATTTGAAAGGGCTCTGGCCAAACGTCACAAGATTGTTGGACATTTTAAGCAGAGTCCAGCAAACGCTCAGGAATTAAAGGCACAGCAAGCTGCACATGGACATCAAACAGAACCGCTTGTTCAGGACGTTCCAACAAGATGGAACTCCACCCTAGAGATGATCAAGCGGATCCAGAGAAACAAATTTGGGCTGACCACCATCCCGACTCAACAAAACAGCAAGGTGACTATGTTGACTGACCAGGAGCTTGACAGACTGCAAAAGCTCGAGGAACTACTGGAACCTTGCAGGTAAATCATTTTGTTTCTCATGATTGTGTGTCTATCTTTGCATTCTAGCTTTGTTTTCAAGTATGTTCTCCACCTCCACCTCTCTGTGTATTTTCATATGTAGTTTTTATGTTTGTCTCTGTGTGATTAATAGAAAAATACAGACTTGATCTTTCTATTGCAGATATGTTACCGAACTGCTGGGAGGAGAGCGGTATGTCTCTTGTTCCATGGTGTTGCCAGCCTTGTGTCATTTGTTCAGGATTATGGAGCCCTCAGATGATGACCCAGTCTACGTTTTGAGGTTTAAGAAGATTTTTACCACAGACCTAGCTCAGCGGAGGGACAGCAGCAATCTCACATGGCTGAAGATCGCTACTGCCCTTGATCCAAGGTTTAAAGACCTTAAATGCCTTTCCAAAGATGAAAGAAGAGAGGTGTGGGCATCAGTACATGACCTTCTGATGTCAGAGACGGATGCACACCAACCATCTGCTCAGACAACAGAGGAACCCTCACCAAAGAAGAGCAAGATGTCCATCTGCTTGCTGGGTTCTCCTGATTCAGATACAGAGGAAGAGGAAGATGCTATAGACTACTGTCTGAATCTGTACAAAGCAGAGCCCAAAATTGACATAGGAGAGTGTCCACTACAGTGGTGGTTAAAGAGAGAAGGAGCACATGCCAGGCTGGCACCTATTGCACGCAAGTACCTGTCAACCCCTGCAACCACAGTGCCTTGTGAGAGATTATTCTCACTCTCAGGTCACATCATTCAAAAGAAGCATGCTTCTTTGTCATCAGACAATGTAAACAGAATAGTCTGCCTCAGTAACTGGCTGAGTGCAAAGAAGGACTAATCCAGATTGCTCCTTTGAAGTGAAAAATGTTCAAAATTCTGGGTTTTCAGCCATGTCTTTTTGTGTTTTAAATACTGAGTTTTGTGCACCCTTTATTGTTATGATATTCACTTTAACCTGTAGGCCTGGGTTCAGTCACTGTTGATGGCCTTAAAAGTTTTTTTGTAAGTTTTCACTGTGTTAAAGATTGATGAAAACTATTAAAATTCTCTTTGAATTTCAGCATACATTCTTTGTGTTTATTCTGCATTTACTTCATTGTGTTGCATAAATGTCTGTTACAATCTTAAAATATAAAGAATAAAAAAAATGTAATTGGAGCCAGGCTATTAAGAAAGTAATTGAGATTAATCGCAATTAATAACAGAAAATTGTGAGATTAGTTAGTTAATTTTTTTTAATCTATTGACAGCACTATTGAAAATATAAAAAAATATTAATCTGATTTTTCGTTAAATAAATAATATTATCATTAATAAAACCTTTTAACTGTTGCTGAAACGTGGTGCTTTGATTGTGCTAACCTTAGCAGTGCTAGCCTTGGTCTGTTTCATGCTGGTGTGCTGCTACAACTTTGGTTGCTTGGTTTAGGGAGGGGGAAGACATCTGCCAGTGCTGCAGCCCCAGGTAGTCCAACTTGTGTAATAATACCTTTGAAATTGTAAATGAAAATAATATATTTAACCGATTATTAGATTTCAATGCCTCGTTGAGTAGTCTTGCACATCCTTTAGCTTGAGCTTTTCCTGTGAGTGTCCTTTCCTGCCATCCTTCTGTTTAGCTGTTTCTAATTCCTGTCACATATAGATGCACAAGTTTTGGATATTTGCTTGGTTTTATATAGTCAACACAAAAAGTTCACACATTACAAACAAATTTAACCCAGCTGTCACTGCAAAGGGCAAACCACAACCTTATTCAGACTCAGTGGAACACTTGCACCAAGAGCTGGCTGCAAATTTTAGATCTCTTGGTTGAGAAGACAGTGAAATGTAACACAACGGTTATGGTAAATTGATACATTTGTGCTGTTTACCAAATACGAATGACAGATAATTGCAGCAGAACTCAAATATATTTTTGCTTCACTTGGACCGCGTGCAGCTCATCAAATAGCTGCATATCAGTGTCAGGCTCATTAAGAAGCTGGTTTATCAGTGTGGATCCACTGTGTGACTCTCATGACTACAGAAATGCACCACTTCTGATCAAACAGCAGAGGTTAGGACAAACATCAAAATCAAGAGAAGTAAAGATGAGTAAACAAATGTAAAACTGAGGTATGACTATAATTTTATATTTCTGTCTTCTTTCCAGTTTATTATTAATAATTTTGCTATTATTATTATCTAGTTATGCTGAAGTCTACTAACACAGATGGTAAATCACCATGGTGCTGAAAGGCGCCTTTGATGTTTTTAGTTCAACAGCGCTAACATTGTATGTAAAACAAGTTATTTTCATTCTATTGTTAAAAGAAAACCACAACACTAAAATATTCTTCATACCTATGAAGTACAAAAGGCATTTCTTAGTTTATTTGCCAGAAAGAGTGTAGTTGTTGTAACAGTGCCACTGAAAAAAATCGACTTTTTCAAACAACAAGCTATTGTCCTCTAGTAAACAGAAAGCTCAGAGCTTTCTGTTTACACTTTTTAGCTGCACATTTTTGTGGAGTAGTCATTTGAGCCTTTCTTTACAAAGTTGGAAAAAATTATAGTTGGATTACATAACTCTTTAGTGAAGGATCATTGTGTCCTAATTTGTGTAACAGCCAACCCGCTTCTATCCTTCCTCTTTATTCTTTTCCCTTTGCGCACCCCCTCTCCTTCTCCCCATCAAAATAAAGAAAGAGGTCACCATCTGTGGCAGCAGTATGGCCAAGTCAGAAGCCTCATCTATTAATCAAAGCTACATTTACTAGCATACTTAATAAGGCCTGCCAAATTCGCATAGGAACATAATGTGAGTAAATATTTAAAAAGCTTACCGTATGTCAATTTGTGCCAGTATCGCCTCCATTGAACTGTGGATGTGAACAACTTGTAGGTGTCTTGGAAAATCAAATATGTAAACAGTTGAGGGGATAAAAAGCTGTTCCTTCCTCTGGCGGTCGGGAGAAAAGAAGCAAAGGAGCTGCTGAGTGGTAAATGAGTATTAGTATTCAGTGCCATTAACTGAGTGGAGGACAAATGAAATCATATGAAATGGATATAGCCACTAATTGATTTGTAGATTCTTGTTTTAGAGCCTCTAGTTATTCCTTATAGTTGTGACTATCTGGGTGTTATGGTCCCAGAAATGATCAGACTTGGACAAGAGGTTAAAGTGCTTGAATAACAGCTTATACTATTGGTTAGTAAGGTGCTTCCATAATTTGTATGGGTCTATCGTCAAGGCACTTGCTAAAAACACTAAAAGGAGTCCAGCCCAATCTAGACTTCTTGGACTGAGTTTTAGTACAACTATTTGTTAGAAATATGCACCGCATTGCTCCAAAAGGCCCCAAAACCACAAACAAGTTGGAAAGGTCACGTTAGCAGACCGCAAGCATCCCTCACATCTAAAGCAGTAACTGAATTTAAATGGGGGATACTATCTATTTAAACTGTACTAGTGACTCACTTTTCAAAAAAGACTCAAGTGGCTGTTGCAGAAAGTGCAGTTTCTAGCACTTTCAAATTCCGTATCCGGTTTTACCCCCAAGTCACCCCAAATACTTTGGCTGGTTTTCATCAGTAATAATTACAGTCTGTAAGTGTCACTGTTTACCTCAGGTGTCAATTTGCAGTCATCCACATTCTCTGGAGGAGGCTGCAAAGCTTTAAGAAAGGAGTCTGATACAAGTTTAAGGTGATATTGAGGCAAGTTGTTCAGGATATCCTAAAGTATTGTCTTGGTAAGCACTGATGTTAGCTATTAGCTAGTAACCAGTGTTACTGAAAGGTGATCATCTAAGGTTGTTAGACAGACATTCAGTGAAAAAAACTCTGATATGTCTGGAGACGGAGAGGGGCATGTCTGATCTGCTGGCAGTAACTGTCATGATCCTGGGTCTTATGACCCAGCGGTTTCAGTTTGTGTGTTTTGTTATTTTGTATTATGATTTGAGTCCACCTTGTTACTGTCACAGGAAAGAGATAATGAAAAAAGATGATGAAATGGAAATTTACAAAGGTTAAATGGCCATTGGGAAAAGAAGAGAAAAAAAAGAAAGGGAAAAAAAAGGAAGAAAAAAAAGGAAAAAGAGAAAAAAAGGGGGAAAAAGGAAAAAAAGAAGAAAAAAAAGAAGAAAAAAAATTTAAAAAAGAGAAAAAAAAATTAAAAAAAATGGCCATTTGTAATTCAAACAATCTATTTGTGATCTTTAACTCAAAACTAACTTATAAATGTCAGAAACTAATAACTATAGCTTAAGAAGTGTCATGGAGTAAAGGATATTACTTTCCAACAATGCATACATTAACTTATAATGGACAAAAGATCTAGATTTTATGCTGCAAAGCATTTGCTAGAATCCAGGTTAATAGAGAAAATGCATTTCAACCCTGTTAGGAAAAAACTTGACTTTCATTTGTTAGAATCTCATCTCAGGCTGTAATTTTATTAGACATGTAGGCAGTTCTGTGAATATGTGATTTAAGATGAATAATGTACACATACACAGGCTAAGAAGAAAAATGAATAAAGAACATTTTATTATAGTATCCACAGCGCTGATCCGAGAGTGTCCTCCAGAGCACATGCAGAAACATATTCCTAGTAAAGATATGGAGCTATGGCTGTGATTAATATTAATTCTGAATTTCATATTCCACGTGGGAACCTAAAAGTCATGTAATTATGAAAGTGAAAAATGAATACAGTTTAAAATTTTGAGAGGTACATCCATAGAAGAAATGATTTATAAATGGTGCATGGAGTCACTCTCTCCATCCGTCGCTATCACAGCTTGAGGTCATCTGGTGTCAAACAACCATTCCAATAATGTGTTAAGATTCACAGCGATCCTTCTGCTGGGGAAATGTTCCTGTAATCCCTTTGACATGCTAAACATCCAACAAAATGCTGACCTTTTTAAGAATACCTGAGTGGTTGGCATTTGCAGTGACAAGTGAAGTTGTGTTACCGCACAGTTACAAGGTGGGATGTAAAGGAAAATCAATGACACACGCACAAGGGCAGCAGGCAGCAACCTTGTAGTGCTGCAGTTAAAAGGAGATTCACTTAGACTTTCTGGGCATTGATCAAATGTAAAGAGAGTGAAGAAACAGTAATAGTATAACAGTAATATGAGAGTCGTTTCTGACTTGAACAATTTATAAATGAGCACATGGATGGAAATCGATACTCCATGAGTAACAAAAATCAAAATAAAGACAAAATAAACAACATGATAAATAACTATGTGAAAAATTGAACATAGCATGTCTATATTTAGATTTATATGACAGTAATGGGGCTTTTATCTGGTGTAGCAGACGATGCAGCCTTCATAGCTTTTATTCTTTTATCCCTGTCCAGCCACAAAAGACTTGCTTTCTGTAAACACGCAACTAAAATGTATAGATAGCCACAGTTCATCATAATTATTAGTTTGTGGACCATCACACCTTATCACACCTTAAATTTCATTACTGTCTTTTTCTTCTTCTTGAATAGTTTTTTGGTCAGAAATCTAGTTCAGACATTTGACTTAGCTGACATGATGCCTAGTATACAGCTGTGACACTGCCTCTGTGCAGTTGCTTAGCTATAGAGACTAGAACCAGTCTTCATTAAGCATGGGAGTCTATGGGGATAGATTCACTTTTGGAGACATTCAGAAACTGAAATTCAAGTATCTTGGAGTCTTGTTCACGAGTGAGAGGAGATTGACAGATGGATTGGCGTTGCAGCTGCAGTGACACAGACGCCGCACCAGTCGATCATGGTAAAAAGAGAGCTGAGCGTAACTATGATGTCTCCTGGGCGAGATGTTCTGGGTATGTCCCACCGGA